GCTCGCTCGACGAATCAACCGTAAGTCAATGGACCAGAATAGTCACCATGCCAGTCCACATTGTCGAAAACCTGTAGACAAATCACAATACCGTGTTGCCCTGAGATACCTTCTCGCATAATCAATAACGTGAAGGATAAAATTGCTGTATATGATATTCTTTTAGATATTACTTCATATAAATAACCGAAGCAAAAGGCTATGATATGAAAGCAATAAGTAGAAGCATTGTTAGGCTAAAAGTTAGTACATCATTAACCGATAAATCTGTGGATAATCGTTACGAATTACCTTCTATGACCTAAATAAATTGAATTAATTTTCTGACATCATATCAGACTATTATATTCTATTACAATAAAATGCAAATGGAGATATATATATATATAAGTAATTGTATGTGTTAATAACAATAATATTGCTAACAGTAAATGTATTGACGAATATGTCTAGCTAATAATATAGTAATGCGAATATATCTTTATCTGTGAAATCTAGACAAGCCATTTCTCTCTAATCCAATCACATCTTTCTCCCCATAATAATCAACTATATCTTTATCCAGGCCTGTTTAATAATCAAAGGAGACAATGAAGTCTCACTCAAATTCCTATAGGCCTTAATAAGACGCCACTAATATAGCATTTTTCTCTCTCCTCAATCTAACTATTACATCAAGACTGAATCTTAAGCTCCTTTCCTTACACGTATATTTCTTACTGCTTAGGACCTATTACTGACATATTTCAGACACAAATAGGTCAAACAGGACTTAAACTTGATATGTGCCTGCATTTGTTTTTCATTTTAATAATGTACAGGTGCTTTGAAAGTGGGACTTTTAGTGATAAGTATCTGAGGATGAAAGTGGATATAATGCGGGATGCTTATGCATTGTAAATAAATAAATTCTATGATTAATTACAATTTATATTAACAATAAAAAACGAACCGAATCAAAATAAACAAATGAAAACAAACATAGATTGTTCTATGTGCTAGCTTTATATTATAGAATATATTGTAACCACTGTCAAACCTAAAATGTCTTGAATCAATGATTGTAATCTTGTTTGGTCACTTGCATATAGTAGTGATATAGATTAGACAGAGTTTGAAAAATATATATATCTGTGCTCTGGAATATTGAAATAGTATAGTATATAATTAATATATTATATGTAGTATATTCAATAAAATGTTTACGGGCAAGATGTAAAACATATAATATCCAAACAGGCCGCTAACCACATCCCAAAAACACATCACCCATACAGACGCATCCACATGACGCCTACTCCATCCAGAGCCTCCTACCAGGACAAAAACACCTACCACTACGCTCTCCATATCAATATCCAGAAGAATTCTACTTTTCGCGAACTGATAGTAGATATTATGATAAGGGTATATAAACTTTCTTTCCTAATCAATGTGGTACGAAAACCACCAACAGACAACACAGATATTCCTATGGCTATATTTCTAACGCTAAAGATAACGAAATCTCAGAAATAATTCACATAACTACGCTTTTAAACAAAACCAACGCAACAAGTCCGAATTTCTTTGAACAAAACCGAGGATTGTTCACAAAATGGTGTCGTCCTGCTAGGGAGGCGGTTCCAGCTAGTCAAAAGTTTACAAAAATCTCGGTCAGTTGGCAAGCGTATGACAGTGTATTGCCTACGCCGAAGATCCCAGCCCCCTTAACACCTCCAATTAAACTATAAGGAAAAATAATATACCCTAACTATCTCTTTATTATTACTGACCAAAACTTATATACCAAATAATATATAATATAGTATATATATATATATAGTTGATAAGTTAATATATCGCCTATATATATATAATTTCCTTTTTTTTTTTTTTTTTTTTATTTTTTTTTTTCTTTTTTTTTTACAAGATTTTAGAAATTGCGCTGTTCCTCTATACCATATCCTATCATGCGTATAGATAGGACTAAATCACCGTGATAATAGATAGCTCAGTAAGATAGCAAGAGCAAAAGGGAACAATAAAATGTGTTATTGACATGAAAAACATTCTGATGTTATTATTGTTTGTGGCTAGCGTAGTGTGTATAACGGTGGATCATACTTGAGATTAGTTATAGGTGTCATTTACAAGGAGGCATATCTGTCTTGTATTAGGATGCCACTCATTATTTATTCATGTTATTAGTGAAAAGTAAGGAGTTTGAGTGTTAGGAATCATATAACATAGTAACATTCTAAATGTATCCATGTACCTTTGTTGACTAAGCTACTCTTTATCGATGTAGATGATCCAAGTATAGGCTGTCGGATACAGTCTGATGAGTTTCCCTGTAGTGATTGTTTCTACGTGAGAAGATCCCTTTCCCTTTCCTTTATAGTTCGTTGGCCAGCGTGTTGGTCGGTTGTTATTTATATGCTGATTCGCGTAGAGGTTGTATGGTCATCGATGGAGGATAGGTTCGTTGCAGTACATCTTGCGGTATACCATGTGAGTT